GCGGGCGGCGGGAGGGCGGCGCGGGGCTCCACACAGACACCCACACCGCGGGCCGAGCGGGGAGGCCACTCCCGCTGGGGCGAGGCTCGTGAGGCTCGTGAGTGGACGGGGGCTCTGGACCCCTGCGTCCCTGCCGGAGGGATTGGGCACCCGCCCGTTCTTGGCACCTGGGGCGCCCGCTTTGCCTGCGTTGGCTTTGTGCCTAGGCCTTCTCTGGCCTCAGTTTCCCCTCCTGAAGGAAGAGGAGGGACAGATGGTATCACACCTTGGCATAGCCCAGGGTTCTTCTGCCAGCCGGCACCTCCTGGACTGATCCTCAGGGCTGTCAGGGCTGGGTTTGTAGGCTCAGGGCTCTCCTGAGGAGGGGGGTGTAGGGGGAGCTGCACCACCTGCCTGGCAACACTGTGCTTGGGTGGTCCAGGGTACTGGGGGACCTCAGCACCCTGCCAAGCAAGGGCACTCGGACCCTAGGGGAGGAGGTTCTGCAGCCCCCACCTCTCTGAGCTGTGCCCTCTGCCTGGGATGGCACCCCCACAGGGCTAAGCCATCCTCACCCTTTGAGGCCAGGGACAGGGATGTCCAGCGACAGCCCTTTGGTGACACCTTTGTGCCTCCATCTGTCCTCTGGGGGCAGAAGCCAGCTTCTCAGGCTGGCCCTGGTCCGGCCCCTGGGCAGTAAGGGGCGTTCTGAGCGCAGTGCCCTGGCCTCACCCAGCAGGGCCTGGGCTGTGAGGGCCCAGCGGCTGCCTGGAGCCAGCCAGTCTATGGGGATTTGACGCTGCACTTCCTGGTCACGTGCAGTGACCAGGGGGCAACTTTAGACACCCCCAGGGTTACCACGCAGACAAAACCACGTGCGAGGGACTCAGTGGACGATTCTGGCCGGATTTCTCTAGTGCCTCCGTGGCACCCAGTGGCACAGTCCTAGAAGGGAGTGTGGGGAAGGGGGGCTGGCAGAGGCCAGTGCAGAGAAGGCCAGTGTGGCAGCGACTTGTCTGGGGGGTCAGGCCCTGTGGTGGCCGTGGTGGGCACTGGACCACACTTGCCCAGTGAACAGACCACCCAGATGGAAAGGAAGCGGGGCTGCGGTCGGAGGAAGGGTCCTGGGAGCACAGTGCAGTCGTGCTGGCCCGCCACGACTGTGCAGAGCTGGTGCTGTGCCAGATGGCCTGGCCAGGCGTGGCCCCCACCAGCTGGGGGCTGCTCTGGACGCGGGCTTGTGCTCGCCCTCCCCAGTCCCAAGCGGGCCACGTGTCCACTCCACTCCGCATTTGTTTACTGAGCGCTTACTAGGTGCCAGGCTCGGTGGGGGGTTGGAGATGGGGGACCAGTGGGGGGCGAGGAAGGGAAGGGTCCCCTCTTTCCTTGGGAACCTCCCCAGGAGGGCCTGTTCCTGAGCCACTGGCCATGGAGTGCCCAGCCCCTTATTCTGGCGTCAGGGGTGACCTCATGTCTGGAGTGAGCTTGGAGCGGCAGCTGAGGCTGGGTCACGGCTTCCCTGGGGGGGGGGGGGAGGGCATGACCACTGGACGGAGGAGGACTCCGCAAACCCAAGCAGTGTCCAGATTCAGCACCTCCGGATTTCCACCGGGGAGGTGGCCAAGGGGTTTTATTTACAGGTTTCAGCCAATGCCACTGTTCAGCGCTCACAGATGCCAGAGGCAGGGAGAACATGCCCTCCACACTGTCCCTTCCAGAGCCTGCGCCGGCTGGCACCTGCAACTCCTCCAGATGCCAGGGTGCCCGCAGCTGGAAGCCAGTTGTCCCTCCTGGCCCCTTCCACTCTCCCCTGGGGTTTGCCATTGTCCAGCTAAGGAGAAACGCTGGGGACCCAGGGCATCCTAGAGCCCAGCTGGTCAGTGGAGCTGGCCCACAGGAAGGACTTTCCGTGTGGCCAAGGCCGCTTCCGTTACTGGCACCTGTGGACAGTATCTGTGCACACACTGCAGGCTCCCGCATGGGGCAGCTGCCTCCCCGGTCCCTGTTAGGACAGGGCCCCGGCCAGGTGCTGGGCCCAGCGCAAGTTGGCATGTCACAGGCCCTGCCACGTAGGTCCTCTTGCTCATTTTAGGAGCTGGACACACAGGTATTTACCAGAATGTGCAAAAATCTTTCCAAAGATGGTTGAACACTGTGGGATCATGGGAAGAAAGACCATAATCTGCCTGTAAAAATCAGGGAAGGCTTCCTGGAAGAGGGAATGTCTCCCCTCAAGAGCACATATGATTTGAGCATTAACCGGACAATTAGGTGCATCGTCTCTGTTTCCTCCCAGCAGCTGTGTGAAGTTGGAGTTTCCCTTGACAGATGAGGACAGGGCCCCGGGGTAGGGATATTGCCGGGTCCCCAGTGCTCTGGCTCCAAGCCATCTTGCCTGCCTTGAAGTTTCATGGTGTGCTGGGTCCAGAGGCCCAAGCCTGGGAGGACCCCCAGCCTGGGGGTACACAGCCATGTCCCCACCAAGCAGGCCAGCTGCGCCCTTTCTGGCAATGGTGAGGGAACAGGAGGTGTAGAGAACTCCCCCCTAAACCGCAGAGTTACAGTTCGGTGACTGTTGTGAAATGAACAGGAGGTGGTGGAAGTGTCTGCGAAGGCCAGGGCCGTCCGCACCCCGGGAGATGGGGAAGTGGAGGCGATTCCCAGCCGGGCCTTGAGTCATGGATAGGAGTTGGCCAGACGTGGACAGGATGAGGCGGGAACGCCCTGCCCGGGAACACTGTGTGCGAAGACTTGTGCTTCCTGAAGATCGTGGTGGGCCCAGAAGCTGCTGGAGTCAGGACGTGAGTCATGGGCACCAGCAGTACCAGGGCAGTGGAGTGAGTGGGCTCTCTGCTCCCGGCCACTGGGCACCGGGCATGAGACACAGCCGGCTCCCCAGGGTTTTGAGCCACAGCCGGCTCCCCAGGGTTTTGAGCCACTCGCCCCCAGGCCTTCTGGGCCCGTCTGCCCTCCAGCCCGCCCCGGGCCGGGACAGCAGGGACACCAACCCAGTCTCCTCACATGAGGCCTGCAGCTCGGGCTCCCCATCTGCGGTGCTCTGGGGGCCTGTAAAGGCGAGCTGGGTAGTGAAGGGGGCCCTGGCTCACCAGTAAGGGCTGGGAGCAGGGACTCACACTCTCCCCTAGGCTGGCTGCGGGCCTGCTCTGGACCAGCGTGGGAGGCTCTGGGCGGGCCGTGCCCGAGACAGGCAGAATTCCTGCCCCCAAGGGCTCCATGTTGTGACATGGACAGCAGACATGAAACGGGTTCGTTTTTGTTACGGTATTAGGGAATGTTCCATTTTCTGCTTTTATTTTTTCAAGATTTATTTAGTTATGCACACAGAACTGGGGTACAGGCCAGAGGTGCAAGGACAGCGAGAGGATTCACCAGAGACAGAGCAGGGAGCAGAACAGGCCGACAGACGAAGCACACTGCTGAGGGGAGCAGCGGGCGGGCCAGGAGCGGTCTGCTGCGCCATGTGGGTCACTCCCTGGCGGGGATCGAACTCGCACTGAAAGGGCTGCGGCTCTGTGCAGTGCTGCGTCCTAACTCATGTGCCACCAGGGAGGGGCCCTGCTTTTATTTTATAAGCCAGGTCAGAGGTCAGAAGGAAATGGGCATGGGGCGGTCAGGGAAGGCTTCTCCGAGGAGGTGTCCCTGGAGTGGGGCTCTAAGTACAGTGACCCAGAACAAAGCAATCAGTTCTAACTGAAAGGGGGTTTATTCAGGAACAAAGCAGCAAGAGGGTACAGTGGGGAGACCACCTGGCCCTTCCCGGGATCTGGGGCTACCAGCCACAGCCGCAGCCCCTGGAGTTCCCCGGGAGGGGAGAAGGGCCCCCTCTTGTGGGAGGCATGTGGGGCTTGTGGTCTGCCCCCGCGCTTCCCCAGGGGACCTCGGACCTCAACATTCACAGGGTGGGTCACGCGGCCGAGGAAGCAGCTTCACAGGACGCAGGTGAGTGCGGCCCTTAGGCTTGGGAGCTGCTGTCCTCGGCGGGGCGGGCCGTTCTGGCGGGTGAGAGGAAGAGGAGGAGGCAGACAGACGCCAGCCAAGGGCTGCCGCCTCCTTGGGCCTGTGGTGGTGGCCGACGGCCGCCTCCACGTTGGGACCGGCGGTGAGTGGGGGCCGCGGCACATGACTGGCGAGGCACCCCAAGGCCCTGACCCCTGTCTCTGCAGGAGTGCTCCCCTTACGCAGCCCACCTGTACGACGCGGAAGACCCCGCCACGCCGCTGCGCACGGTGCCCGGGCTCTGCCAGGACTACTGCCTGGACATGTGGCAGACGTGTCGGGGCCTGTTCCGACACCTGTCCCCTGACCCTGAGCTCCAGGCCCTGGAGGGCCACCGGGCCAAGCTCTGCCGCTACCTGTCGCTGGACGACGTGGACTACTGCTTCCCGCACCTGCTGGTCAACCAGAACCTCAACTCCAACCTCGGCCGCGTGGTGGCCGACGCCAAGGGCTGCCTGCAGCTGTGCCTGGAGGAGGTGGCCAACGGGCTGCGCAACCCGGTGGCCATGGTGCATGCCTATGACGGCACCCACCGCTTCTTCGTGGCCGAGCAGGTGGGACTGGTGTGGGCCTACCTGCCTGACCGCTCGCGGCTGGAGAAGCCCTTCCTGAACATCAGCCAGGCCGTGCTCACCTCCCCCTGGGAAGGCGACGAGCGGGGCTTCCTGGGCCTGGCCTTCCACCCCAGCTTCCGGCACAATGGCAAGCTCTATGTCTACTACTCGGTGGGGGTGGGCTTCAGCGAGTGGATCCGCATCAGCGAGTTCAAGGTCTCTGAGGACGACATAAACACTGTGGACCACAGCTCTGAGAGGTGGTTTCCCCGGGAGCCCTGCTGATAGGGGGTAGGGCTGAAACCCTCTGGCATGCACCCATGTGCAGTGGCCTGCACCTATATGCACCAGCCTGCACCCATAAGCACCTGCATGCACCCATATACACCTGCATGCACCCATGTGCAGTGGCCTGCACCCATAAGCACCAGCATGCAGCCATATGCACCTGCATGCACCCATGTGCACTGGCCTGCACCTGTGTGCACCAGCAAGCACCCGTGTGCACTGGCCTGCACCCATACTGGTGAGCACAGATACACAGCAGCACCCACCCTTACACCTAGTGTGGCAGTTGCTACCATTTAGAATATTGCACCAGGTGAGGGGCTGAACCTGTGTCTGGGATCAGGGCAGGAAAATCGCCAACAGTCGGGCAGAGTCATGCCCGACTCCTGGTCAGTCACCTCACACGGTTCATTCCTTCTGGTCATGGTGAGGCCAGTGAGCAGTGTGACCTCCCCTTCTTTAGAGCTCAGAGAGGAGGCTAGACAGGTGAAGTGACGTGCGGGGTCGCACAGCTGCCGCCTCAGCTGGGGCCCTGCTGGTCTCAAGCCCCACGCCCCTTCAGGCCCCACCTTCCACCCCTCTGCCCCAGGCAAATGCTCCCCATCAAATGGCACCCCCAGCAGATTTCTCCACCCCCTACCTCCGGGCCTTAGTTCCTTTGTTTTCTGCTTTCCATATACTACTTATGCCCCAACTGTTTGGAAAACAGACTTGAGCCTGCCTGGCGTGAGGGTCATCAGTGTGGGTTCAGCAGGAGCCTCATCTCTCACCGCGCTCCTCGAGTCCTGTGTGCTGGTTCCTGGGGGCAAGGCTTCTGATCTCGCTCCAAAGTCCCCGAGTCCTGAATTTAAACTTGAACTTTTCTTCTTCTTTGCATGGCTAAGGGATGGCGTCAGTGACCAATCCCGGAGGGAAATGCAGGGCGCTGGCGGGGCAGGCATCTGGGTGTCATGAAGGCAGGAGAAGGGGACTGCCAAAAGCCAGATGGACAAAGTGAGGTGTTGTTTTGTGTGACTCCCCGCTCCTGCCATGCTGGGCAGAGGCCCCCCGTCAGTCTCCATCGCCAGCTCCAGCACCCGCTCTGGCGGCACCAGAAGCCAAGGAAATGCTTCCCCCTCTTGCGCTCACTCTTCATCAGCAAGCCTTAGCCAGGCCACTCCCCTCCTCGTCCTCCCCTCCCTCCCTTCTCCCCCTCCTCTGCCACCCAGGCCAAGCC